CTCTCCAGCCTTGACGTTTACCCCCTGACAAGCCACACACATCCAAGCAAAAAAAAAACAATGACTGGGGATGTTCAGTCTTCATTTTTTAAGTAGTTACATCCAAATCTTACCTATATATTGGCGTTCTCCAGCCTTAAAATTGCTGAAAAAATAGTGCCACCCCAGAGCCAATGTATCACTAGAGGAGTCTTTCCGAATCTATTTTTGCAAAAAAACATGCAATCCTACCCACAGTTAATCAATCACTTGGGCCTTTGTAGATTTCAAATGTATCTGATGGAAATAATTGCTCCAATTGTGTTACATGACTGCGGGCTTTCCAGCCATCAATTTCCTTGACATAAACATGAAACAATCTCTCCCAGGAAGTATGTGTTTGATATTATCTGAAAAAATGCAATGGTTTGATCATATTTTTGGAACAAGGACGTATTTTTTGAAAGAGCCATGTGTTTTGAAATAAACCATGTTTAACATTTCAATCATGTTTTCAAATCAAAAATGCACGGGTTGTGGTAATTTTGAAGTATTGAAGTCTAAATTTGGTGTCAATTTGATGTACTTACACTTCATGGGGTTTAAATTTGCACCAAACTTACATCAAACCTACATCAAACTTACACTTATGAAGTGTAAACTTGATGTAAACCTATGCCCCTGAAGTGTAAGTTTACACCAGGGTTTCATTGGCAACCGTGAATTAACATCAAAATTACACCTGCAAGTGCAATTTTCACTTGCCAGTGTAAGTTTGGTGTAAACTTACACTTCAGGGGCGTAAGTTTACATCTTACACCTCATAAATGTAAGTTTGATGTAAGTTTGTTGTAAATTTACCACCCATGAATCCCATGAAGTGTAAGCTTACATCAAACTTACACCAAATTGGCACCTCAATACTTCAAACTTTCCAAGCTTTGGCATTTGTTGAAAAAACATGTTTTTCTTTCATATTGTTATTGTTTTAAAAAATATCAAACACATACTTCCTGGGATAGATTTTTCCGTTCTTATGTCAAGGAATTTGATGGCTGGGAAGCCCCGAGTCATGCAAAACAATTGGATCGTTTTTTTCCACGGCATAGATTTGAAATTAGGGAGGGCCCAAGTGATTGATTAACTGTGGGTAGGATTGCACTTTTTGTTCTAAATAAATTTGGGAAAACCACTCCTCTAGTGATGCATTGGCTCTGGGTGGTTGGCGCTATTTTGTCAATAATTTCAAGGCTGGGGAACCCCCCACAAAAAATATGTATATATATATATATAGGTAAGATTTTGGATGTAACTACTTTCAAAAAATATGAAGACTGAACATCCCAAGTCATTGTTCATTCACCCCGCTTCGCCCCCTCGTGGGTGCCTTCCAAGCTAGGGAATTTAATTTTCACTTTTCCCTCCCCAAGCTAAGAAGTTTCACTTTTCCCCGTAGAGGCTTCCCAAGCGAGGGAATTTTCACTTTGCCCCCTGCGGAGGCTTCCCTAGCTAGGGAATTTTCGCTGTTCCCCCCCGTGGGGGCGTCCCAAGCGGGGGAATTTTCACTTTTCCCCCGCGTGGGGGCTCCCCAAGCTAGGGAATTGTCACTTTCCCCCCCCGTGGGGGCTTCCCAAGCTAGGGAATTTTCACTTTTCCCCGCCGTGACAGCTTCCCAAGCTATAGAATTTTCACTGTTCCCTCCCTTGGGGGCTCTCCAAGCTGCGGAACTTCAAATGGCTAGACAACGACGCCTAGATAGCCCCCCAAATCCCATGTTCTTTGAATGTGTTTCCATGTTTTTGCAATGGTTTCCTTCAAAGCACGGTACTTTACACTTTTGTCGCCATAAAACCGGTCGAAAACATCATGTTCGACAATGTTTCCAATTCCCTTATCTCCCCAACCGTTGAAAATACTGCTATTTACAGTGTTTTCTTCAATTTTTCCATGTTCCAATGCCGGTAGCCAACTCCAACATATATATAAGAAATCCTTCCAAAACATTGTTTTTGACAGTGTTTTTCCAATGTTTCCAGTCAAACACGCGGTAATTTACACGTGTTTGCCATAAAGGCAGTAAATCCTTCCAAAACATTGCTTTTGACAGTGTTTTTGCAATGTTTCCAGTCAAACATACGGTAATTTAATGTGATTTACACGTTTTTTGCTATAACGTCAGTCCAAAACACCGTTTTTGCAGTGTTTTCAATGCTCTGGCATCCAAAAACCCTGCAAAATATTGCTATGTACAATGTTTTTTTCATTTTTGGCCGTTTTTCCCTTGCCGGAAAGCTACCAAAATGACCCAAAATTCCATTTCAATACCCTCTTGCGCTCAGACACCCAAAAATCATCGAAAAATGTCGAAAACACCACCTAATTCTGGTCTCGGTGCGAAATCGTTCATGGCCCCCCCCCAGCTAAAGCTGATATAGCGACTGCTATATTAACAAATGTGATTGAGCATTTAGTGTAGCTGTTTCCCCACAATAAGCACGCCTTCACCGCCAAAGCGGTGTGGGCGGATTTTGGTTGGATGTGTGTGGTTTGTCAGGGGGTAAACGTCAAGGCTGGAGAGACTTGCCTGAGTGATGGCTCAGGACGTTGCAGCAGAGGTCGCTAAGGCACAGTTGCTGCATTCCAAAGGCGGCGCATCAAGCAAAAACACCGAAGTATGACTGAGCCAATCAAGGCTTTGTGGTGTGTTGTGAAGTCCAACACTCGAGGTGACAACCTTTTGAAGATGGTACTGCCAAGATCAAAAGAGTATGACGAAATTGTGCAACGTCACCCAGATGTCCCTTGTTTACCCCCCGACGTGCCTAGGTCGCCATAGCATATGTATAACTTTTGCCGTTTGAACATTGCCTATACTCACACACACATACATATATATATATATATATATATATATGTTTGGTAGCAGAACTAATGCTGCGGATCGCCGTGCGCAGCAGTGCGAACCTAGAAATTTAAATAGCCTAAAGCTGAACTCTCAAATCCAAGCTTCACCCTTAGACCAATTGAAGACACCTGCGCTCTCCAAGCTCTCAAAGCTACACTCTCTCAGCTCTCCAAACCTATGTAAACAAGTTAAACTCTCAAAGCTAGACTCTCTCAGCTCTCAAAACCTATGTAAACCCTCCAAACTCTCAAAGCTACACTCTCAGCTCTCCAAACCTATGCAAACCGTTCAATCTCTTCCAAACCAACGATCTCTCCAATCTTTTCAATTCATTTCCAAATTCCACAATCTCTTGAAACCCTCCAGTCTTGCCAAACTAAGGTTGCTGGTGCATTGGAGAAAACTGCTTTGGAATTTGTTTGAGTGTACCAGGCTCTCAAGGAAGAATTTTCGGATCATGGTAATTATTTTGCCATGACCAAAAATTTCACGGCTTGTATACCATTTAGCGCAGAGATCTTGTGATTTAAATCCCGCAATGGGAAGTTGTATGCAACAGGAGGACCTCATGGGAAAGGTCAAGACTCTAGTCCTAAAATGTGTTCAAGGGGCCAAGCCTCTCGCCAGTATCACCAAAACCATGACCAAGTATCGCTTAGGATTTTAATTGGAGCACGGTCGCGCGCGCTGAGGGGCGAAAATTAGCCTGGGGTGTACCTGGAGGTTTTTTTGAGCCGGAGATTTCTTCAGCTTAGTTCTTTACCTTAAATGTTTGCTGCTTGCGCGCAGTCTTTGAAAGATGGGCGACTGTTCAATATATCATATCCAGAAGCTGTTTGGTATTTAGCTAGCTTCTATTTCTTTTGCCCGTGTCTCTGTTTTGATTTGAGCTATGCCGTCGGTCAGGCATTTCTCTTTTGATCCATGTCTGCGTGAATATGAGTGCACATGCACATGCATTTCATTTTGTTCAACATTTAAGTTTTGATGTTTTTGAGAGTCACAGCAATTTTAGGTTTGAGGTTTTTGAGTTGTAACAAATTTAGTTTTGAGGGTTTAATTGCACGGATCACCGTGCATAACAATTTGCATCCTGGCAAACTCAGAAACGGAGAAGGGTAGTAGAAACTTTCATCTCAGGAATTCAAATTAATGACAGATGTTGCTGAGTCGATTGGACGCAGCGGTGCGGTATAACCGGATCCCCGGGCAAAGGCGTTTGGATTGCACGCGTCTGTTTTTCCATATATTGGCATATATATATATATTGTTTTGAGGAGTGCAATTCTAGTTTTGAGAATTCATTAGTTTTGAGAGTTTCGAGATCGCAACAGGTTTATTTTGGTGATGGTTTTGCAAGTCGTAACAGTTTTAGTTTTGAGAGGTTCGAGAGCCCCAACAAGTTTATTTTTGAGGGTTTTGAGAGTCGTATATAACAATTTGAGTTTTAAGAGTTTTGAGAGTTTGATTAGAATAGTTGATTTAGATGTTTGAATAATTATAATTTATAATTAATTTCGATGTATATTTCAACCTCTATTAAATAAAAATTCTAATAATGTTAAAATTGACATATCGTTTATGTGAATAATTTTAATTTATATTCAGTTTAACTTAAATTGAAATTCTTATTATATAGTAATTTAGAAAAATGTTTCAATTGACATATCGTTTAGATATATGAATAATTCCAAATTATATTTAGTTGAAATTTTTATTTTCACTTTTATTATATAGTAATTTAGAATATTACACATAAACTGAAATATCGTTTAGATGTGAATACTTTCAATTTATATTTGATTTAAATTTATAATTTCGCTTTAATTATTTAATTGTTTAGAATAATATTTAAATTGAAATATAGTTTAGATATTTGAAACACTTTTAGTTTATGTTTAATTTAAATTTCTATTTTCACTTTTATTAAACTATAATTTAGAATAATATTTAAATTTTAAATATCGATATTTAAATTTAATTTAAATATATTTAAATTTAAAATTTAAATATATTTAAATTTTAAATATTATTAAAATTTAAATATCTATTTAAAATTTAGATATATTTAAAATTTTATGTTAAAGGATCCTTATGGCCATCAGCATCAACCAAGGCTTGCCACCGGGACTGACGGACTTCAACCTCAGCATCACATTGCACGATTTCTTCCTGGGTCTTCCAGTGTCGGC